TTACAGGGAATCAGGCTTACTCTGCTGACCTCTCTAGCTTCAACAGCACAAAGTCTGTTTCGACTTTCAAGGCACCCCGGAATTGGCAGGTCACAAGAAAGTGACAAACATACAAAAGAAGTAGAGGAAAATGACAATGGTAAGGATTAGGAAAGAAAGAGCAGCAGTTCCCTGTTGTAGTTCAGGCACAGTTATAAGCTTGACATTGATGAATCAGCCCATTTACAATTCTATGTGTATGTATGAAAAATGTCCCACCTATGGGAATGGCTTAAAGACACTTCAGTCAGTGGCACTGCTCCGGGGGGTGGGGGGTGGTGTATGCTCAGTACCTACTTTTGAAAAATTTAAAGATTTTTGAGTTTCACATCCTGTCAATCTTTTTCGAATGCAATTCTTTGAATATCTTGATAGCGACTCAGGATAATCTTACGATTTTGAAGGAAAAAAACAACAGCTAGGACATCTAGTCTCTGACCTCATACATGTCAGATAGAACTTTATAATTCTGAGGTCACGATGAGTAAAGACATGAGGTCTATGAGAAGTTCTGCTCCTCGCACTAGAGCTGGGCGAAGAGTCGATTCCGGAACCGATTCCCACGATTAATACTACGGATGTAAAGTTGCTTCTCCTTTTTACGTAAACCAGCGGTTTTATCATTAAAAAATTCTTTTTTTTAAAGAATCTATTTTTGAAAAATGAAAGTTGATGCTTCGTAGTGTTCCGAAATCAAGGTTAACCTAAATCCTGAATACGTTCGGAGCCAACCAGGTGACCACCAGAAAAAAAATCACATAATTAGAAAATAAGTAATTGGGTTCGGAGTCGATTCGACGATTCCTAGCTTTCAATAGTCGGGAACCTAGCCGCCCAGCACTACCTCGCACTAGTATTACTGAAGCTAGGCGCGCACAGGACAGCAACTTTAGCTACGCAACGCAGCTTTTTGTCTTCTGTGCTCACCTCGTCTCAGTTTACTGACTGTGAAGGACTGTGAAGTACAGAAGTTTTGAGCAACATTTTAATTTGCCCCCGGGTTAAGGTATGCACAAAAAAAAAAAAAAAACGCTTGCTCGCGATAAAGCGATTGCGATAAAGCGAAAGCTTATGAAGAAAGCGCTTGCTTGTCGTTGAGGTGTACACAATATAGAAAGATTGAAAATCGCGCTTGCGACTGGTCAGAACTTGGGCATTTGGCGCCACGGCGGATTCGAGTGAAGACGAACTATTGTTATAAGACAGTGTTTTGCCAGAAATCCTAATTATCCTAAGAAAACGCAAAAGAATGGGGGTTCACGAGATAAATTTAAGGAGGCGAGTGGACGGTGAACATCACCACTTGTTTCCTTCACATTTTCAGTCCTACCTGGAATGAGCGAAGAGACATTCAAGTATATCTTATTAAAAAATTGAACAAAAGATAACCAAGGTTTGGTTCTTCGCTAATATCTTTCCAAGCACGTTTCGCAACGTTGTGATTTCCGTGGTCTTTCCTTCTGTTGTCCCAAAGTGCATGTATTTTAAACACGGCTGTTATCAAAAAGATTCGACATCCATTTCAGTCCGATTGTCATTGAGACCAGAGAGAAAATGCACACCGCACTACCCAATTCGTGACCAGACAACAATTGTGAGGGGG